ACAGCGTTACGTATATTCGGGTTCTAGTGAAACAATGAGCGCATGTTGGCTCATATGAGGAACACTGTGCACTGGATATCGTGGAGACGGTGGACTAAATGAGTGTTTGATTTAACCACCGTTTTGATACTGCTCTTTTCTTTGTAGTTTGCCATTAGCCACCTATGATGTAGCACAGGTCGAAGCGCTGCTTGAGGGAGAAGCTAGGGGATCCGTGCAAATTCCGATTTACATTTTTTTTGTTTTTTGTCGCTCGGCAGGTTCTTGAAACAGTGAATGTATCGGTGCAATTTCAGCGTGCCTGGATATTTATTCATTCACCGTGGCGCTTAGCCGCATACACTGATAAAGGCTCATGAATGCATTAAAAGCGGTAAAAACGAGCAATTACTCGCTTTCATAGACTACGGAGCGGGCGCTCCCAATGCAGACACTCCCGAGATCTTCAGTACCATGGGACTACAGCGCCACCGCTACTGTCACCCGCCGCAGAATCAGCCGAGAAGTGGCGCGGCCGCCTTGTTCATTCCACTGCCCCTTCTAGTATACTGTAACCATATTCAGCACGTGGCGATGGCTCAGGTTGATATCTGCGTAGCGATTCGGCTTGCTTGATTCCAGGGCGGCAGTCATGTTGTGCTCGCTGAATGTCTGGAAGCGCAGACAGAGCCTGAACAACGAAGCTAAAGGGATTACTGAGCATTGCGCCGGTATAGTTTCCACCGAGCTCACTGCGTATCCTCGTCGGTGCAAGTTCTTGTGTAGTTCCCGAGAAGATCATGTGATGTGGTGTCACCGAATGCGGTGGCAATGGCGATATTGTGGTGTGAAGAATTTGCGTACGGCTGATGCCGTAGTCGGCACTTGTCGATGGCGCAGGTTGATATCTACGTAGCAGTTTGGCTTGATTGATTCCAGGGTGGCTGTCGTGCTGTGCTCGCTGAATGTCTGGAAGCGCAGCCATAGCCTAAAGAACGAAGCTGAAGGGATTACTGAGCATTCCACCAGTATAGCTACCGCCAAGCCCTGCAATATTTCCTTCAAAATATCTTTTTTGTCACTGGTCTCAACTAGGCCCTACTTTCATCTCTCAAAAACAGTCACTTTGGAGCCCCAAATCGTCCAGCAAGATACATTTTTTGGTCACTGACCTCAACTACGGCCGACTCTCCATGCCCCAAAGCAATGCCCATAGAGTCCCAAATTGTCCTGCAAGACGTCTTGCTCGGCCACTGGCCTAACTGCGCCTTTCTCTGTTCCCCAAAACAGTCCCCCTAGAGTGCAAAGTTATCCTGCAAGATGTCGTTCTCGGTCACGGACATCAACTATGCCCTGCTCTCTGTTCCCAAAAACAGACCCCCTAGAGTCCCCAAATGTCCTGAAAGAGGCCTTTTTCGGTCACTGGCCTCCACTACGCCTTGCTATCTATTCCAGAAAACAGTCCCCCTAGAGTTCTAATGTCAAATATATTGGAAAACGTGCTACGGTCAAGTAACATCTTATATTGAAAAACTACGTGACATATTTTACCTTTGCTCTCAGAAAAAAGCAGCCCACCCGTCCATCCGTCCGTCCGTCCGTCCGTCCGTCCGTCTATCCATCCATCCTTCCATCCATCCATCCACCTACCTACCTACCTACCTACCTGCCTGCCTGCCTACCTACCTACCTACCTACCTACCTACCTACCTACCTACCTACCTACCTACCTACCTACCTACCTACCTACCTACCTACCTACCTACCTACCTACCTACCTACCTACCTACCTACCTACCTACCTACCTACCTACCTACCCGTCGACGTCTGGGCGCTCTCATGATCACCGCCTAAACTTGTGCTTAACTAAAATTACTATGGGAGGGACTCACTGGTCATGTAATGAATAATGTTACAATCCTGTCACGTACGTCACAAAATCCTTTCTACCCGATGTGTGGTCCATACCTGTGGGCGAGTATGCACCGCAGGTGTTCGACACTTCATATCTACATAGGAACGGTGAGAACAAACTTCGGTGATTTTAGCGCGTGAGCGTTAAAAACACACTGACATCGGCCACGTTGACTCGACGAGTAAAAATAACAAATGTCAGCGTCCCGGCAGGAATCGAATACCAGCATTTTGCGTGGCCATAAAGTACACTACCACAGAGCCACGCCAGGTTTCGGAACTACTTTTCAAATAGACGCTAATGTTAGTGAAACGTCAAATGTGGTTGCAGTACTGGGTATTGAATTTCATAAACATGACATATGTACTCCTGTGATACAGCCTTCACGCAGCGTTAATGCCAACCGCTGCAGTTGATTTGTAGCAGTGTCCAGGACTACCATTCTTTAGGGCACCAGCGCTTCAGATCAGCTTACCGCTTCTGGTGTTGCTAATACTCGTGTTGCTGTAGGCATTGTTACGCAACTGTAAACAACTGGTGTGGAATGAAAGTGACTTAGCTGATAGATAGGAACAAGACAAGGTGCTTTACCTCAGACAGATGAGAGACGCGTTCTAGTCCGGAAAGCGCTCTTTCGGCTCCACAAAATGTAGAATGAAGGTCACTTCACCGGTAAAGTGGGGCAAGACAGAGTGTTTTATAACTGAGGCAGATTAAAAAAGCATTCATGTCTGGCAAACGTTCTTGCGGCACAATAACTTGCAGAATAAAGGTGACTTCGCCAGCAGAGTGGAGCAAGACAAAGGGTTTAATAACTGAGGCAGATGAAAAACGTGTCCATATCTGCCAATCATTCAAGTCAAGTCAAGTACTTGAAGATGTGCCGCAGACCCACGCTGAGGGATTTGCCAAGAACCGGATAGCTTTCATGAAAGATTTCTTTGATAAAAGGTTTCGATTTTTTGGTACACCATGCACAAGCTCTCCTCCGATGCCGGCGGTTCGTTGTCTTATGCCTTGAATGAATGCAAAATAACAAAAACGCCGACCACGCGGAAATGCACAAAAGTTAAAAAGAAGTTTCATCTCCCCACATGGAAGCCTTGTTCACAGTTTGTGACTGTGAGTGGAAAGTAATATCAATCTTTAGTACGCACTAATTCGTGATAGACAACAGAATTTCGCCAAAAACATTTTTAGTATACACAAGTTGCTTAAATCATACACAATTTAAAGTATTTTCAATATACATCACGTTTATGAAAAAATTTAAAGTTTTTATATGTATCATAAGTTAAGCCGTTGAGACTGCATTTACTGCTCTTGCAGATAATGCATTCCAGTAAAAAATAGAGCGAGAAAAGAGAGCGAACTTGCGGCCGATAATCAGGCTAAGTGGCCGCCGGAAAGTTTTTTTCGTGATTCGTGCTCACTGAAAGTTTTGAAGGTTGCTGGAGATAGCGTTCCCAAGATAACTTGAAGTACCCAAGGTAAAGCTGAGAGATGAATTTGATTCTGGATGCTATCCTGCGTTGTTCAAGTTTTGACAGGTGTGCCTTAATACGTTGACTGGTTAGACTAGACTGTCGAGATTAAGCGGAATAAATAGAACGTAAAGCTAAATTTTGGACTCTTTCAACTTGGTTAATCAAACATCATTGCCAAAGGCTCCAGACATTGTAGGCGTACTCTAATTTCTGTCTCACTAGTGCTTTCTATGCTCTCAGTTTTACCGTGGAAGGAGTATTACGTAGTTCTCTCTTCAAAAAAGGCAATTTCTTTAGTGCACCCCGACACACGGTTTCAACGAGCGTCGGGGTGCACTTGAGGTTACTGGTGAGTGTGACTCCTAGACATTTGACATGATCAGCTCTCGTAGTGGTAGCGTTTGCTACAGAATATGCAAAAATAAGGGGCTTAGATTTATTGGTAAATATAATTAGGTTGTTTTTGAAGGACTTATTTTAATCCCTACCTTGCACACCAATCGTCAATTGAGCCTAAGGAATCGTTGAGTTTATTTTGGTCTGATTCATTATTTATAGCTGTATATACTACCCAGTCATCCACAAAAAGTTTGATTTGACTTTTTGGCTCAACGCGAAGATCAATATCATTGATATAAACTAAAAAAAGGAAGAGGCTCGACGACTGACCCCTGCGGAACACCGTGTCCTTATACATTTACTTTGAGCTATAACGTATCTTGGCAGTGGAGCGATGGCTACCACAGAGGCAGGAGTTCCACACCGTCATGTTGTGTGCAGGTACAGTATGGCAGCTTGTGGTCAAAGATGACGATTATGAACCCCTGAAGAATGGCACAATGCACTATGGTGGATAGGCCACGAGACGTGCGGCAGTAGAGTCTATGAAATTTCGTTGCGTTTACTCACTTCGTTAACGTCTTTAAAAGCACATATACACAAAAAATGTGAATGCGATAAACATTTAGATGTTTCAGTGTACACTTGAGTGTCATGTTACCAGTGTATGTTTCTCAGTGAACTCGCGACAGCACGTTTGCGACCATACACTGGCCCATTACTCTATTGACGCAATATTTAAGGGTATGCTGAAAAAGTTGCACTGTGTAATAAATGTAAAGAAAAATAAGGCATTATTGTGAAGTGAATGAAGACTGTTTTTTACCTACGCCTCGCCACAACTGTTTGAGTCTCATATTATATAAAACTGCTTTGATTTGAGCGAAAAGAGAAATGAGAAAATTGTCGGCAAACTCAGGTACAATCTTTCGGCGTGGTAGTCAGCTTGTTTCTAGCTTGCACCCGTCAAGAAAAGTTGCCACCCAGTATGCGTTGCTGTCACTGTGGTCCACATATACATAGGGGTGCAGAGGCGTGGACTCTTGTTAAAACGTACAGCACAAAATGCGGTGGCCACCAAACTAGTGCCAGTGGCCCCAAGAATATATCGTATACCTTCGCGTGTTTCGCCTTGGCCAATAAAAGAGAGTGAGGCCCGAGTGACTGGGTGTCCTCCTCTGCACGGACACCCTCTAATGGGATGCAGGGGCGCAGCGCAGAGTCTGTGACGTCCTGCGAAATCTGCTTCTTCTGTGTTCTTCGAATACGCCCCACGCAGCACGTCGAGTTCTTCATTGACCGTGGCGTGCTGGGCGTGAACAAGGAGGCAACGCACACCGTGCTCGAGTACCGGGGCGACCAGGTTCAGCCGCACACGCGCCACAAGTTCGACAGCTCCAACAGCCTAGTGGTGCCCGTGATGCCGCCCACTCTGGTCGGGGTGTGCCGCCTGCTGCAGATGTACTATGTGCTCAAGGTAGGCCCCTGATGTGGACGACGCGCAGTGCCACAGCATTCCATTTTCGCTCATATTTTGTCTTACCTGAGTTGTGCATAAACAAAAAAGCCGGCGAAAATTTAGCGCATTTCGTCGAGCAGTTCATTTAAAATGAAATATTTTCATAATCACGTGAGTAGCTTGATATTCGGGCCTCGCAGGCATCCTCATCAGCTGTGACGCAACAAGCAGCGACCTATGCGAGCGTCTGTCGAACGATGTGTTTACGTCGTCAGCTGAGGGTGAAATTGAGATAGCTTTCTCCAGTTCCCCACTAAAACAGAACGATTTGAAACGGCCGTAGCTTTGGGAGCAGACCATCGCTTCACTCCCTCTTGGTCATGACGTCATCCGCGCCATGGCATAATGGCCGTCGCCAGTTGTTGGCGGGACTTCTATGTATTGTTTTGTAGTGAATAATTTTTCTCGACCATTTAATTATCTATGTAAAAATAATAGACCATCTACAGGCTATTTTTGCTGAAAACCGCACATGGGCGAGTGGCTGTGTCTTGGCCCCTTTAAGAGAACTTTTAGTTAGATTAGTTGGTCTACGTTCATTATTTATTTGCAGGAGTGAAAACAAACACACTCACAAGGGAGACCGTGTGCTTTGAACTCTGTTTAGAGTGTGTTTCTTGGCGTCTTAAAATCACTTTTGTCATAATTAAGTAACACGCATCTTCAACAGCTTGTGTGTTAGAGGTACGCGCTACCAACGGCACCTGAGTAACTGAAACCTGTGCGCGAAGACGTTGGAGCAGCCATCAAGTTTGCGCGCCAACGTTCCTTGTACACGCACAAAGTGCAATGAATGTATATGAGTGATTTGTTCGCTCGAGTAATGAATAAAAAATATAAAAGTACATCACTGGCTGTGGTTGCACCATCGACGTGTGAAGAAAGTGCGACAAGAAAACTCGCAAGGTCCCTCGCGCCTTCACCGTGGTTATCTTCTTTTCGGCAGAGAATGGAGTAGGTTACACGGAAGCCATGGCTTCACGCGCGCACAGCTGCCAAGCACAACCTTGATTTTCTTGTCTTGAGATGACGCGCTCTCCGATTTTGTTCGCCGCCCAAAGGAGGGCACCACAACGGCGTCGTCACATGACGTCGCTCGGATAGGCTTCAGCGTGATTTAAAAAAACCAAGGAGACACACAGAACACTGTGTTCTTTGTACCTCCTTGGTCTTCGTCAAAATCGCGCTGAAGCCTATCCTAGTATGTACCAACTCGCCCAAATCAAAGTGCTATTGGAAGAACGTCACTCATCATGACGTCAAGAATATTCGCCATCAGACAGGTCATTGTGTGATGATGATTTTCGCGTCACTCGTCCCATCCGGTCAAATCTCCCGTTTTATGAGGAATCGAAGAATTTCACTTTATTGAGCGACCCAACTAGCCTCATGACGCAGAACAAAATAGGCGAAAAGAGTTTATTTGTACGCAGTAGGAATAGAATGTTACCTACCATAGAAGTTAACTATTAGCAATTAAAAGAATGCCAATTTAAATGTGACGATGTTCCTGGCAATGGCGGGAAAATGAAATCTTTAGTTTGTCCAAACATGTGCTTGATATAGTGATGCAATTAGTATAGGCCACGACGTGTTAGGGGTTGTGCTTTGTATATTTGGACTTGGAAGCCTTCCTACAGTGACTAAAGATTTTCAAAGCCAAACAGTCATGACAAGCCTTTACAAGTGCCCGGTACATGTATATAGAAAATGCACCATTTCACATGTACTACATGTGAAATGGTCCATTTTCTAAATGCATCTATTTCATTCACCCTCACGTGCCCGGAACACACCGTTTGCATTACGAGTAGACTAGTTTCTGAAGGTTGATTTTCTCTTAAAATTTTAGTGTATTTTTCTTATTATATCGAGCACACAATACGCATGGTACAGTTTCTTGTGGAATAGTGTGATAAACAGTGAAAGAGCTGGAAACTTGGTTGCCACATTGATCAAAACTGACGCGCTTTAACGCCGGTCGAATCGACGTCAGTGCGCGCCCACATCGTTGGCGTATTCACTACCGTAGTTTTTCTAGTCCAACGTTCGCCCTATTAAGAGTTGGGCTTTTACAGGTACTAACCGAGACAGGCACGTGGCGATATTTCAAGAATACATTATTAACTGCAGTGCATTTATAACAATAACCAAGTGGCAAGAAAATTCTAAGAACTTAACTGACGATTGGTATGACCCTGTCAAAAATATAGCAGGCAGATCCCACGTCTTGTGGGATTTGACGTAATGCGAAAGAGCCAGCAAGGATGAAACCATGTTGTACATGAGATGCATGCCATGATTTATAAGTTACGACCTGTCATATGTTAGGACCTGTCAGAGAGCCAGCACACATAACAAATCTTACAGAAAAATGCTACAAATCACTTGGCCTACTCAAACGATCACTTTTTCATTCTCAATCCCTGTACGCAAGCTCACTTATCAAACATTCCTACGGACAAAACTTCAGTACGCCTCAGCGATTCGGAACCCTCAGCAGGCATGTTTTATTAACTCACTCGAAGCAGCGCAGAATCTCACAGCACGTGTTATTCCTTCAAATTATGACTGGCACTCTAGTGTAACTAACATCAAATCATCCCTAAGCGTATCTAGTCTGACACACCACCATGACATATTACAAGTTTCTCTCTTCTACGACATGTATCTTAAATTTTCTCACCTCACAAACACGTTTCTTTCCACGCTACTGCACTTCACACCAATTATTTTAATTTCACTTTATTTCAGACATACATACACAATCCACAGGGTGAACTATGTCCCCGAGCAAAGGCAAAAGGAGACTCGCATGGCTGCTGACAAGACCTTCACCTCAGACCACCCCCTGTAATAGGCACACACGTTCCTGCGCCTTTTCTCCTAGGCCACTGTCACGATATGTCGCCCGGCGCGTTTTGTTTGAGTCAAGTGGGATAAATGCATGAAGGGGACACGGGGTGTGGCACAAAAACACCCTTCATTACACACTCAGACACATTCTGGGTTTTCGAAATGGCGAGTGCCACGTTCTTAGAGTGAACGTGCCGTCCGGGTACCAAACCGGACGTGCGTCTGGTTGACCTCCCTGCCTTTAATTTCTTCCCTTCCTCCTCCTTCTCCTTTAGAACGACTATATCGTTCAGAAATTGATTATTACGTTGATCGTGATCAACACACTAGGACACCCTTACACAATATTACCTTACATTTCAAAACATGACAAACAATAACACACCCAAGGCAACATCACCAATGCTTAACTTACCACGAGGGTGACCAACGCTCGCGAACACAACGCCACTTACCACCCGGTAGTTGTAACCTGAAATCCGGCTTTTCGGCGAGGTATCTGTGCCACTCAGCGCAAACAACATTACAGGGGTTGTCAACACCCCCCTGTCCCCTCAACCTTAATTCAAACCATATTCCGAGAAACAAAAAATCATCTACACAAGCTCTAACAAAAATGACATGCCCATTCATAATGTCCGTGCACCACGACACCGCCACCGGTCGACACTGTTGCACTGCCTGGCTCGACGACTTCACCTCAATAACGGTCCCGCAACAGCAACGATGCCGTCAGCGCGATGATCTGTCACTCACGCCGACACGTCTTCCGGTTGCGACCAGCACTCACGAGGGCGCTGGATTGCAGTCAGTTGCACAACTACCAGGCATGTACATCGCCCGGCCTTACGACTGCATTCCTGGCCAGCGGCGCTGACGATGTGCAGCAGACCGCCAGCCGTTGATTACATCATTCCCACTGCATACATTACAAAAACACTCGACAGAAACAATGGCTTAGGGCCTAGGGAAGGGAGCTTCGGGCTTTTCGTCCATGTAGTACAATGGTCAGTACTGCTAGCTAATACATCAGTGGTGGCCGAGATGCCCCGCTTAAAAATAAAAGAAAGGTCAGTTTTCCTAATTCGCGCATCGCAAGATAAAAACTGAGGCAAGCAGAGTGCAACACCTCGACGCCACGGTCCACCTAGTTGTGCCAGGTGCGACAGGTGGCTGCGCAGAGCCTTAGGCCTAATGAGTCGCTCGACAACAACCGGCATCCACTCAGCACCCAGCCTAGGCACAGAAGAGGCAGCCGCAAGGAGACATCCACTCTGTAAGGTGGCCCTATCGCTCGCCGCACACATCAGCTAACCGAGCGATCGGCGTCCACTGTCCCGTATGATGTCGCGACGCCCCGGCGTCGTGTAGCAATACCAGACAGCAACGATGCCCAGCTCTCTGAGCCCAAAAGATAAAAGAAGCTATTTACAGAAAATCGGACCACCCACGAGGGTTCTGTACTCACTCGCTTTGGGCCTGGCCTACATTCCACGTGCTCTAAGCTTTGCTCACCCCAGAATACAGACCCAGACCGCATGGCTCTCGTCCCAACTGAAACAACGTTCTTGAAAACCAACGGCAACAAACAAAAAAACTGCTTTTAAGCAGAAAAAAAAACAACTCAATGTGCCAACAAGCCCAAACAAGCCACAACAACCGATCTCCTCGTTCTGAACAAAGAACACCGCCGACGCAAACAAAGAAGTCCCCCTAGGCCTACTTTACACCGTCTCTAACAAAAGCTTGTACCGAACCGTGAAAACTGTCGTCCGATGCTCCACGAGCCCCATGTTGGGCGCCAGTGTGCGGCTTTTGGGCGAGACACGTGCGCCACACAGCGCAAACATTACAGGGGGTGTCAGCACCCCCACAACATACAGTACATAAGAAGACTAACAATCTTTAAAAACAATTCATTCCCTCAAACAACGTCAAACTAAGGTCTGTCTGAAACTGAGGGGGATTTACGCACAGTGAGACGCTGTCAGAAGGCCGTCGCTTGGTGCGTCGCTCAGCAGCAATGTTGGGAGTTGCCTTCCTGGCGAAGCCTGTTGCTGGTGAGGAGACATGTGCCTCTAGGAACTCCTGTCACATCGAGC